TTTTTCAGTCTCTGTTCTCATTGCTTTTCATTTTGGGAAGCTTCTAATTGTCATAATTTCAAGTTCAGAGATTCTTTCCTCTACCATTTCCAGTCCACTAATGAGCCCATCAAAGGCATTCTTCATTTCTGTTACAAGTTTTCAATCTCTAGTATTTTCTTAAGTGTACATTCAAGTTTTTAACCTGAAAAATCTAAATAATAATATTTATGAATATAGTCATATATTCATGTGCCCAACACTAAGCTTAAGAAATTGAACCTTATCACCTTTGAAGCCCCCCATGTGTCCCTTTCAAGTCTTTCTCCTTGAAAGGTATCTTTATTTTTATATTTTTTAAATTATTTAAAATTTTTTTTAATTTTTGACATTTATTTATTTTTGAGAGAGAGAGACACAGAGCATGAGCAGGGGAGGGGCAGAAAGAGGGAGACACAGAATCCAAAGCAGGCTCAAGAATCTGCTGGAGCCCAATGTGGGGCTCAAACCCACAAACCACGAGATCATGACCCAAGCCAAAGTTGGATGATCAACAGACTGAGCCACCCATGGACCCCTGAAAGGTATCTTTAAAGGGAATGTGAAGCCCCTGGGTGGCTCAGTCAGTTAAGCATCCAACTCTTGGTTTCAGTTCAAATCATAATCTCACTGTTCATGAGTTTGAGGCCCACCTCAGGCTCTGTGCTGACAGTGCAGAGCCTGCTTTGGATTTTCTCTCTATCCCTCTCTCTCTCTTTCCCTCCCACATGCTCTCTCTCCCTCTCTCAAAATAAATAAATAAACGTAAAACATAAATAAATAACGGGAATGTGAAATCTTGGCCAGGAAACTGAAGGACTTGTGACTACAGGTAGTGTTTTTGTTATTTTTTCTGCTGTAGGTAGAACTTTAGGGAGGGGACAGGCTGGGATGAAATTCTGTTGAATTTGTATTTCTGGACCGTGGCTCCTGATACTAGAATGAAAGGCTTTTGTTAGAATTGAAGTATTTCTGGTTTTTTTTTTCCTTTTTTTTTTTTTTTTTTTTTTTTTTTTTTTTTTTTTGA